GTGTGACTAAAGTAATATGACTGAAAAGTGGTCAAATGGCTTACTGATGTACTCTTGAAGGCAAACCATATTTAATCTCCTGTTCTTCGGCTTTTTTTTTGACAAATTAACTTCGCAGAATGTATGAGAGTTAATTCAATGGAAAGAAGCTGAGCGCGAATATAACAACCTTTCATTTGGTCCCAAACTTTTCAATAGGAATTGATTAATAATGAAGGAGGCGTACAATTTTTTGTGAAATATAACAAATATAGATAACTGTCTTTTCTTTGATGAGGAATTATATTTTTGCTTATAATATTTTCTTTTTGAACTTAAGTGGAGTGAAAATGATAAATGTGTTTTAGTTTGAAAGTTTGATGAAGCTCAGAATGACTGCTTAAATGAAGTATGCTACTGGATGAAAGAAGCGATGAAAGAAGGACTAGTGGAACGAATTATTCTCAAATAAGCTTTTGAAAGTGGTAGTTTGCATAAAATATTTGGATCATCTGAAGAACTCATGCGACTAGATGTCAGGAAAGTATAGGTGAGTATATATGCACTCATCCTTTCTTGCCTTTATTTCCACCTTTATTTCCGTGAAGGACAAAAGGATAGATCAGAATTCAAGATGAGCTACTGTCAACACGGTTATCAGGGCCAATGGGCTGGAAAAGTGTCTGTAAAATTGTTATTGAATTTTTGAGAATAAAGAATTAATACTATGGAACTGAAAGTGACAAAGTGTACAAAGTTTAATTAATTAATTGTCAGAAAAAAGTTTTTCTCGGCAAAAACGCTTGAGCTTATGATTGCTGCGCTAATTAAACTGTCTACCTCGTTCTGTAGTACTAACCTTTAAGCCACCATACATTTGCATATTAACCTATTCGTCAACAAAAATATCATATTGACCATAAAATCGAATGGTTTCTCAATTAAGAGCTCGAACAGTAAGCAAAATAAACTGCTCCCTTGCTTGCAAAAGCACACATAGCCCAGTTGATAGACCACTGTATTACTATAAAATACAAGTACCTGATGTTCGTTCTGTGAAACTGAAAACTTCTGATTTAAGCGCTTCCAGTGAAAGAGCAAATTTTTATGGAGAAAATAAAATTTATTTTTTGCTATCCTAACAAAGATAATGCCTATCTCTATAAAATACGTACTACATTTTCTGTAAATCTTATTTTTTATATACCAATTCCACATTTGAAATGTTCTAGTCAAGAAACAAATCCCTTAAACAGTCGTGCTATAAAACCACGAAAGACTTTTTGCCAGCTAAAACGGGAACGTTCTAAAAAAGATTATTGTGTAAGGAAGCCGTAAAACTGCGGAGCTGTTTACAGAACCAAATTTTGACCGACTAAAGAAGAAGATCACCAACAAAAATTCAAGACCTATGTTTATGACGAAATCTATTCAAACCTTTACTTTTCAAATTCTATCATCATTCATTAACATCAGCATGGCCAACCTTTACCAAATGTTTTTTTTTTGACGTGAATTTATCTGAGGAGCCAAGTTTACGTAAGTAAATGATGTAAAACGTCCAATAATTTAAGAATACAAAAAAAAGTATTGTCTGTGCTCGTTATTAACATACTAAAAAGTTTTTTCAGCTATAAAGCTAAATAAGGTGGTTTTACTCCTAATATTTTTGGAAAAAAATTACTTAAAAGCGCAATACAAATAATTTGGGTACAAAAGCAACGGAAGACTGTCTAGTAAAGCCGAGCACACTTTATTAAGACGTTTCAACTTTTTTTACAGCTTTGATTTCTGGAGATAAAAAATGTAGAAGAACATTTTGCACAATAACGGAACTAAGTGGGAGAAAAACAAACAATTATATGACACAGATTTACAGTTAAACGTTTAGTCCACTACAATTGAAACTCGCAAAACTGTAAAATTTAATAGACCTTTCTGCTTAATTCGAAGCGACAAAGACGATAACACAGAAATATTCTTATTTTTTAACAGAAAACTGCAAAGGCTGTCATATGGAAACGATAGTTTACTTACTATCACTCGTTCAATATCCTAATTATGAATTTTTTCCAGTGGGTAATTTGTTCTTGTGGTTAACGCTTTCGTGTTATAAAGACTACAGTTTCAAATATTATTACAAATAATCGGATGTTTATGAAGAATAGTTCGCTTTTTTAACTTTGAATAGGTGATTCTTTCAATAGATTTTTTATTTTTTTTTTTATTTATTTTTTTATTTTTTTTTTTTTCTTTAACGTCGTTTGATACTGTGGTCATTTTAAAACTATTAGCCTTTCAGGTGATGCAATAGCGACATTATCGTTTGCTACTCCTTGTCGCAGATTGTTCGTATTTATAAGACGCCCTGCATCTACACTATCCATCGTTAGCCGTTCTCTAAACGTGAACAAGTTGGTACTGCTCCAACAGAAAAGAAATTTTTAAGTGTTTTATGTGTCTTATTAACAGCAGAAGCACTGCAGTTAATCACTCCAAAAAAGCCTATTACACCTATAAAAATGGTGAAATTTTGAGGTGAGCGGAGCCATACATTACTTTTAAATGTTGCTTATCGTAAACTGTTTTATCATCTTATGGTGTGGTGCTGTTATAAGATTTGTCATTACCAATTCCCTAAACAAAAGTGGTATGGTATTGTTACCGAAAAACGTAGTTTTGAAGTGACACCTTAACTTTGGAAGCATTTCTGTTTGTCATTTTATAAAAAATTAATGTAAGTCTGAAAAAAGATTAAAAAAAGACCAGATAGAACCTCACCAATGCAAGAAAATATTCAGCTTTTTTCAAATTTCATGTATTATTTACAGTATCTAAAGTTTAATTAACCTACTGTAATTTTTTTTTTTCTTTATTCATTTCCTTTTTCTCAACTTCCATTTGGTCATTTGCAAACGAGTTCCATTTCAGGCATAATTTACTCCACCGGTCTTCACTAATTTCTTCAAAAGAATCGTCGCTCTAAAACTATTTGCCTTTGACAAATAAACACCGTAAATGTTCTTATTATCGGAAAATAAATCAGTATTTTTGAAAACACAGCATAAAGAACTACAGAGCGTGCTTTTGGAAGAACAATCAGTGCTGAAAGTTACATTTAAGAAAGAAAAATCTTTAAGAATCTGTTCAAACGACGGTCTTTCGGAAGCGCTTTCTTTGAAACATTTTTCAAGCATTTGTTCTAA